GCTCTCACAAAACCGATGACACAAAAAGATGATGACTGACAGTGTTTTGGATGAAATAATGTAAAATGTTTCCCGCAATTACTTTGCAGCATTCTGAATGCAGATACTGAATACTGATGACAAATGTATCAGAGAGAAGCGGATGTAATTATCTAATTCATCCACTAGAGGGCACTGTTGCCCCATAAAAGTATCAGCAGTAACCTATATAAACCATTGCTACATCAATACACAAAATAGATGTACATCTCAAAGGAATAAGCTATGTAGATAATAGGTTGAGTAGCTTATTAAAGCCACTTTGGTATTAAAAAAAAGAAAAAGAAAAGGTATCCTTTTAAGAAGAGAGGCCTTTTCTTCAAGTGAAACCTGAACACTCTAGCGACGTGCGGACATTTTTTGGGGAGAATGAATCGTAGATTATTCATATGGGAAAAGCGCCACCCATTCATATGTAAATATCACAGTTGAGACTATTGTCAGTGGGGGGCCAGTAGCCCCTATCTTAATTCTAGTTGCCCCTGTCTGCCTGACATCTTGTGTCCGGGTTTCTGCTGCCATGAAACCTGGACATAGCATTCAAAACCCGGACTGTCCGGGTGAATCCTGGACAGTGGCAACCCTAGCAATACAGTAGGCCAGGGTTGGGACAACTCCGGCCCTCCAGCTGCTGTGGGACTAAAAATTCCTTGACGCATTGCAAGAGTCTGGCAGCCACAGGTATGGCTCTCAGAAACAGATGCATCATGGGATTTGTAGTTTTACCACAGCTGGAGGGCTAGAGTTAGCCACACACTGCAGTAGGCAATGCTGCAGCTGGCAGGTGAGACCACAGCATGCAGCTGCGGTTGCACACATCAGACACACCTGGTTGGGTTGGATGCTACAGATTCCAATAGCCGTTGTAGCTCTGTATGAGACTGAAGATGTGAGGCATGGATATTAGCATGGGAATGATGTACTGCAAATGTATCCTTGACAAGGTCTTACAGAGCTTCATCAGCTGCTGCATCTTGGTTGCGTCGTGTAGATTGAGTGCTCTACAGAAAACTGAGTCACGCTGCAAATTTACAATTAAAGAGATTTGCTTTGAGATTATAGCTTGATTCACTAATGTTCCTTCCTGCTGCTCACTATTGGTGCTGTAACCATTTCAAATATGCATCTACTTATAGAAACCTATATGAAAAGAAGAACGTAAGCTGCTATTGCTAACCTCTTCTTCTCAAAATGCTATATGCCTGGCTAGCAGGCTGGTCCAATGACTATTCTGACCTACTGATCCTAAAAAAATATGTATATCAGGGCTTCAGGTATCTCTGTGCTGGTCCCAGCAGTCATATGGAAGATTGCAAAGGGCTTTATTTTCACTGTATTCCTACTGTTTATGGTTACGCTGCCACCCTGTGGTCATTAGATGAACTGCATCTATTTTCTGCAAATCCTCTACCTCGAATAATGCAATTTTCTCCTTCCTTATTATCAGTTAGGAAAGAAATATTGCTTTTGACCACTTCAAATACCAACATCTGCTGCATCATATTGTCTGCCTCAATCTTCTGCATGCAGTAGAGGTATTCAGTGTGTTTGGTGAGTTCAGCTATCTCATGCTGATTGTCTGCACATAGAGTGTCTCTGCTCCATTTAGGCCAAGGCATGGAGGACTCGGCAAGGGCTAAGTCACTATTATAAGATGGAGTCAGAATAATCACTCAGACTTTGCTGGCTGCATGTCTATCCCTGGTCAGGAACTCAGAAAGTAGTGAGACCAGAGACAAACAGACAGATTGCATTTTTATGAGGGAGCTATGAACGGGAACCCATTTATTTCTCTCATTACTGATGTTTTGGAAGTTGGGCTGGTAATGATTAAAATTTTCGTGTTCGATTAATCGAAATTTTTTTAATCGATTAATTTTGATTAATTATAACGCACATACAGATCCAACTACATTGGCCTATACACATACAGCACAGCAATGAAGTAATAAAATGAACTAGGACCACACTAATCCAGCACGTTATTAATCTCACGTGCCCCACTCAATATGGCCGCCGCTTGAGTGGATAACTCAGAATAATAACGTGCTGGATTAGTGTGGTCCTAGTTCATTTTATTACTTCATTGCTGTGCTGTATGTGTATAGGCCAATGCCTTGGCTGGCGCTCGTGCAGAAAGTTTCTTGGGCAAACTCACCAGCCCAAGTGGCTCCGTCAAAGGGGGGAGGAGTCTGGTGATGTCACGGACATTGATGTCACCGGACTCCTCCCCCCTTCCCTTCGTTAGCCGACGGAGCCACTTGGGGAAGGGGGCAGGAGTCCGGTGACGTCGATGTCCGTAACGTCACCGGATCGCCGACGGGACTCCCGGAAGGCGGCGGAGAGGTGAGTGTTTTCATTAGCGATCAAAATTCTATTAATTCTAATCGATCAAAAAGTTTAACGATTAATCGAGAAATTCATCTTTAATTTACACAGCCCTATTTGGAAGTATGCGCATGTATTAAGAGAACCACTTTTTTTTAAAGTGACCAGATTCTGCAGGTATTTTCAGTTCTGAACACACAGTCAGTACACTCAAGCCCTCATTCACCTCTGTAGCTACTGGCGTTGCGGAGAAATCCACCTTAAAAATTCACAACAGAGGCACAGAAAGCTTAGCTCTTTTCCTGTTGCATTCTGTTAACCAGAATCTTGGCAGCCTACTCAGCAGGTGTCTCTAAGCTGTTATAAATCGGCTGAAACAGACCTGAGAGTCTTTGTTGTGATCTTTCAGAATCTTTGAGAATTAATTACCTCACAATATAAGCAACTGGAGAGGTCAGGGGTGTCTTGTTTTGAAGCTTTTTTAATTAATTAAGAAATAATGTAACTATTGTAAATCTGAAGATTAATCTGCTTATATTTTGCCTTTCCTGGTCCCCCTCATCATTAGGCTTTCCATTGTATACCTTATTTTACACCCAGTGATGTCATCACTGGGTCTCCATGAAGCCCTCAAGGGCAGGGCCCTCCTTACCATCTTGTCTTGAATTGTATTGTGATTGTAATGTCTTCCTTATATTGTAAAGCGCTGCACAAACTGTTGGCGCTATATAAATCCTGTATAATAATAATACTCCATTAGTGATCTTCTTCTCTGTGCTATTCTAATTAGTGATAGCCAATGGCTCCTCCCATGGTTAGCGCTAAGGGGATTGGAACACTGGGTTAATGCCCGGGGCCTTCCATCCTTTGCAGGGATCCAGTTTAGCTATCGCTGAGCAGTAGCAGGTACTAGATGCTGGAATGATCTCAGTTACAGCTCCCGACATGGGAACATCACAGCAAGTGGGGTGTGTAGAGGAAGAGGGGAGCGATGCGGAGGATGTAGGTGGAGCTTTGCAAGACATGCGCTGCTGATTGTTCAGGTCCTCTTTCTATAGCCACCCCCCCCCCCAACATCCTCTTCATCCAATAGAGTACTCAATAGGGATGTCCAGATACCAAGAATCGTACTAGGTACAAGTACAAGTACTGATAATGTTCCAGCTCCAAGGCTAGTCCATGTACCAACCAGACCAAGTACTGACAATGTTCCACGTACTCACAGATACCAATTACTGATACATTTTTGTTAATTTTCATTTGACAGTTTTCTTAAAATACTACAAACTAATGATTTCAGGTACAGTGGTGGAGCGGTGGAGCGCCAGGGGCCAGTCACAGCTGCAACTGCTGCAACCCTGGTAGTTCTCATGAAAATGCTAAGTATCGACACTGGTATCGGAACATCTCTAATATTCAATCAGCTCAATGTATCTTAACTATACTGTTGGCTACAGGAGGAGATAAACTGTTTCTTAGTTTTCATCCTCCTGGTATGTAAAAACTGAAAGAGAGATGAGCTCATCACTTTGCTGCTTCTCCTCTCACTGTCCAGTCACAGGCTGGGGGCGGGTCCAGGATGACCTGGACTCAGAGGAAGTGGGTTGAATGTTGCTGGCCATCAGACTGATGACATCCAGTGGCAGAAAAAAGTACTGCGGGAGAAATCTCCAGATTAAAGGTGAATATTACAGCAAAGGCCGGTTTTGTTATTTTATCTTTTATGGGCTCTTTGTTTTTATCTGATTATATTTGGCTTCTGTTTCAAAGTAACCATCGGTTTGGCATACGTGCTTAGCGACATGAGCCTTATGCCTTTTTGTAGCAGCCTTATCACGGCAAGCATACAGTGCACACAACACATGATACTATCAGATTAAGCCCAGTTATTGGTTTGTAGGAAACATAAACAGACTTAATGGCGGTCACTGGTAAAGTGACAACGCCGCCTCTAATCTCATCAGTGAAAGATGTGTTTTATGTTCATTGAGCTTCATATACTGACACTCAAGCTTGTCCTCCGGCCTTCCTCTCTCCAGCAGTGATAAGTAACAAACGATATCTTTCAGCTGAATCATGTCTGGTGGACGCAGAGACACCGGGGACGAAGATCGAGACGAACTGTTACTTCTGTAATTCATTCGAAGACCTGGAGAAAGAGACAACCCAACTTAACAGCACGGAAATGTAAAAAGCATCGACAGCAGCCATGAGTTCTCCTACAAGGTGTGCAAAGATCAAAGAGTGACCACCAGACTCCAACCAACCAGCCAACCCACCAACCAACCCACCAACCAGCCAACCAGCCAACCCACCAACCAACCCACCAACCAAGAGGTCCAATTAACTAAAACAATTCTTGATATATTAAGCTCATACAGAAGATTTGATATGAGTGACATTCTGTAACTGTTTTGTGCGTCTGATTGCTCTCTATCAGGGGCGCAACTAGAAATCACAGGGCCCCATAGCAACATTTTGTATGGGGCCCTGTGATTTCTAGTTAAGCCCCTTGCAGAGCCCACCTGATATCCCACACAGCCCACATGAGAGTGACCCTGCAGAGCAAAATCATACACTCTCTATGGTGGGCTCTGCAGGGTGTCAGGTGGGCTGCACACCTCTTACCTGTCACCCCCTATCTGCCTCCATGGTCGCTGGCAGGCCCCGCCTCCTCCGTCGCCGGGCCCCGCCTCCTCTTCTGTCGCCAGGCCCCCCTCCTCTTCCATTGTCGGGCCCACCTCCATCTCCGCTTCTGTTGCTATGCCCAGCCTTTCTCCTCCACAGCTGCTGGCTGTCACTGACTCAGCCGCGGCTGTGAGGAGGAACGCGTCGCTGTTAGATCACCAACATCCTGTCAGTGATCTGTGCTCACATCCGCCAGTGAAGCCAGCAGCCTGAGATGCCAAAGCGACCCAGGCAGCCCGCACAGCATCAGGGGGATGTCCTGGCCGGGCCCCCCTGTGCCCCGGGCCCCATAGCTGCCGCCTGGGTCGCTATGTCGATTGTTACGCCACTGATCTCTATGCTATCTGGCAGGCAGGCAGGACGAGGTTATGGATTGAGAGTATACTTTTATGGCATTACCATTACCGTTTGTCCACCATGAGTGCAGTGTATGGCAACCATGACCACTATAGAGTAGGTCTTGGAACACAATCATAGCAGATATTACTGTTAATCCTTTCGCTGCCACTGACGTATGTCATACGTCACTGGCAGCGGGCCTCTTTAAACAGAATGTCGACTTTACAGTGGAAACGATTCTGGCGGCTGAGATGCTGCCAGATCGCTTCCACAGGCCGGTGAAATTCAGCTTTGCCCGATAAACCACCTCTCTCTGCCCGCTCTCGGGCCCGGGACTGGCATCTCGGGTGTCAGTGGGAAGTGGGGAAGGAGACTGGAAAAAATTCATTCACCAATCTCCTGCCCGCTCTATGGGACTGGAAGCGATGCTGATTGCATCAATTCCACTCCCCCAGCTGTCACTGCTTGGCTGCAGAAGCCGGGCAATAAGCTATTGGAGCGCAGTCTGCTAGCTAGGAGTGGAAAGGTGACATTAGGTGTCTAATTGACCCCTAATGTCACTTTAAAGACCACCTGTCCTTACTAGTATGCTATCACATAGGGGCGCTTACAAG